GGACTGACGGATGACTGACGGACTGACCGATGACTGACGGACTGACCGGACCTGACCGCACTGACGGACTGACGCACTGACGGACCTGACCGCACTGACGGACTCGACGCCACTGACGGACTTGACGCACTGACGGACTGTGTACGCACTGACGGACTGACGCACTGGACGGACTCGACGCAACTGACGGACCTGACGCCTGACGGACTGACGCCACTGACGGACTGACGCACTGACGCCTGACGCACTGACGCACCTGCGCACTGACACGCACTGACGGACTGACGCACTGACGACTGACGCAACTGACGACTGACGCACTGAAGGACTGACGCACTCGACGGACTGACCGCAACTGACGGCCTGACGCACTGACGGACCTGACGGATGACGCACTGACGGACTGACGCACTGACGGACTGACGCACTGACGGACTGACGCACCTGACGGACTGGCGCACTGTTTTTACGGACTGACGCACTGACCGGACTGACGCCACTTGGACGGACGACGCACTGACGGACTCGCGCACTGACGCGCTGACGGACTGACGCGCCGACGGACTGACGCGCTGACGAGACTGACGCACTGACGCGCTGACGGACTGACGCGCTGACGGCACTGACGCGCTGACGGACTGACGCGCTGACGGACTGACGCGCTGACGGACCTGACCCGCGCTGACGGACTGACGCGCCTGACGGAACTGACGCGCTGACGGACTGACCGCTACGGACTTGACGCGCTGGGACGGACTGACGCACTGACGGACGGAAGACTGACTGACATGTCGCACATGACTGACAGACTGCCGGCCCTGATGGACGGTCGGGCTGACGGACTAACGATCGGCATGACGACCAGCCAGCCGGCCTCCACGGACAGACGGTCGGCCTGACAGACGGACGGCCGCCTGACGGACGAAACGGCTTAACGACGGGTCCTAACCTGACGGACCGTCTCACTGACGGACCGGTCTCACCTGACGGACGGTCTCACTCGACGGTCTATCTCACTGACGGACCGGTCCTGGACTGGTGGTGCTGGACGGACGGTCTGGACGGGCGGACGGTCGGACGGACCGGACGGACGGACGGTCAGACTGTAGGCCGGAATGATGGAAGGAACTGACGGACGAAGGATTTGACTGTCAAATTGTTCAAATCTGATCAAATTGGTCAAATTGTTCAAATTGGTTTTCAAAATAGTAAATAGTCCAAATTATCCCCACTTTGAATCCACGTGCCCTGAGCGATCCCCCACTTGATCGACTTGCAGCGGTCGACCCCCACTTGATCGACTTGCAGAGACGATCCTCCACTTGATCGACTTGCAAGACGATCCCCCCTTTGATCGACTGCAGAGACGATCCCCCCTTGATCGACTTGCACGAGACGACCCCCTTGATCGACTTGCTGGGCCGATCCCCCTTGAATCGACTTGCTGTGGCCGATCCCCACATTGTCTTCGACTTGCTGGGTCGATCCTACCTTGATCGACTTGCTTGGCGATCCCTCACTTGATCGACTTGCAGGGTCGACTCCCTCACTTGATCGACTTGCAGAGCCGATCCCACGTTGATCGACTTGCAAGAGCGACCCCACTTGATCGACTTGCTCGGGTCGATCCCTCACGTTGATCGATTGCGGGCATCCCCCACTTGTTCGACTTGCAGGTCGATCCGCCACTTGATCGAACTTGCGGGTCGATCTCCATTAAATCGACTTGCAGCGGCGATATCCCCACTTGTTCGACTTTTGCAGGAGTCATCCCTCACTGATCACTGCCAGGGTCGATCCCTCGAACTTGATCGACTGCAGGTCTTGCTACTGATCGATTCCAGGGATCGCATACGCTTGAATCGATTCCCTTGCTAGGGTCGATCCGCACGTTACATTGCTATTCCCCTTGTCGACTTGCAGAGCGAGTCCACCGATCCGCTGGTCATCCTTGATGCGACTTGTGAAGGTCGATCCTCACATTGATCGACTGCAGGGGTCCGATTCCCTCACTTGATCGACTTGCAGGGTCGATCCCCACTTGATCGACTTGCAAGGTCGATCCCCCACTTGATCGACTTGCAGGGGTCGATCCCCACTTGATCGACTTGCATGGGTCGATCCGCCCACTTGATCGGACTTTGCAGGGTCGATCCCCACTTGATCGACTTGATGGTCGAGTTCCCACTTGAATCGACTTGTGGGTCGATCCCCCTGATGCGAGCTTGATGGTCGAATCCGGCCCACTTGATCGACTTGTGGGTCGATCCGCCCACTGATGACTTGCTAGTCGAGCCTTTGATGCCGTGGTCGATCCCCCCTTGGGATCTGAGCTCTTCCTGGCATGCTGAGTCGATCCCCACTTGCGCGACTGCTGTCGACTCGGCCCACTTGCGGGGCGACTTGGCTGAGTCGATCTCCCACTGTGGCGACTTGCTGATCATCTCCCCTCTGGGCGACTTGCTGAGGTCGATCTCCACTAGGGCGACTTGCTGAGTCGCATTCTCCCACTTGGCGCACTTGCTGAGTCTTTATCTCCCATTGGGCGACTTTGCTGAGTCGATCTCCCCACTTGGGCGACTTGGCTGAGTCGATCTCCACCTTGGGCGACTTGCTGAGTCGATCTCCCACTTGGCGCGACTTGCTGAGTCCGATCTCCACTTGGCACTTGCTGAGGTCGATCTCCTCCTCGCTCCCATTCTTCCGGGCGACTTGTCTGACAGTCGATCATCCGCTACTTAGGTTGCGCCAACTTGCTGAGTCGATCTCCCACTTGGGCGACTTGCCTGAGTCCGATCTCACGACTTGGGCGACTTTGCTGAGTCGATCTCCCCCACTTGGCGACTTGCGCGACGATCTCCACTTGGGGCGACTTGCTGAGTCAGATCTTCCACTTGCTCGGACTCTGGGTCAGATCTCCCACTTGATCAACTTGCTGGGTCGATCGATTGCTGAGTTGATCTTTTATTTATGGATTATGGTTGGCTTAAGAGAAGTAATCATAGTTGGCTTACAATGATATGCTGTAGGCTTAACAAGGATCATTGTTGGTTTCAGCAAGGATATTGGTTGGTTTAAACAGAATTTGGTTGGCTCAACAAGGATACTGATTTGCTGTAACAGGGATCTATTTCGGCTCAACTAGGGGTCATAAGTTGATTAACAAGGACTCACTGCCTCGGCTTAACAAGGATTTGGTTGGCTCAACCAAGGGTATTGGATGCTTAAAAAGGATTATGATTGGCTTCAAGGACGATCATGGTTGGCTTAACAAGAACTTGATGGCTTAACAATGATTAATTGATTGTGTCAACGGGCTCATTGTTGGCTCCAACAAGGATCATTGTTAGCTCAAAAACGATTGTAGGTGGCTCAACACGACAATCATGCTTGGCTCAACTAAGAGCGACAGTACGCACAGACCGTACAGATACACGGTCCGACGGACACAACGGACACACAGAACCATTCCCGTCCTTCCACATCGGTGAACCGAGGCAAAGTGAGGGAATCTGTTTGCTCGACAAGTTATCATCGGCTGCGCTGCCGCGAAGTGCGGTTCCCAGATGGTCTTGTGACTACCCGCGCTCTCGAGCAAGCGAGCGAGCGCAACACTGGTGAAGGCCCCTTGTTCCGGCGAAGCTCGCCAACTCTACGTACGCGACAAAAGGGGAGACTGAATTTTCATGACGCGAGCTTCAATTACTGGTCAAACATTTGGGAAAGTTTTTAATCTCGTTACTAAAAGTAAATTATAATTTTGAATTCTTGGTTCTTTTTATGGCTGTAGCCGCAGTTATTTATGGTGTAATTTTTGTTGTTTTTATTATTATTATATTATTATTATTATTATTATTATTATTATTTATATTCACATTTATTCAAAAGCATCGAAATCAAGGTGTGACTCGTGGATCGGAGTCGCTAGGACAGACATGCAATACTTTCACAATCTGTTGTACAGACTAACAGGCAGATAAAAAAGAGATTACACAAAGCTTTGTGGAACTGACCAACGTAATTTAAAAAAGGTAGAACAATGATGTTTGTGACATGAAAAAATGTAAATAATGAAAACCAATGTTGTGGTTGTCTCTGCGTCTTCCTGCATTGAGAGTGGTGACTTTTATTGAAAGAAATGTTTTTGCAAACACTAAAGTTATCTGTCCAATTTCTGGCACTTAAATTACAGTGCAAGTGTATACTCTATAATCGAAGTTTTAGTACCTAGAAGTACAATCCTAAAAGCTACTTTCAACACTTTGCGGGCTCTCAACAAATTACTTTTGACGTTTCAAACTTGAAAGTGTTCACAGGAGTGTAACGATTTTTGACGTCTCATCTTTTGAAAGGCGGCAATTTGAAATAAATCTCTCCTTGAATAGTGAGGAAAATTGAATTACATTGCGACAATAAAATTCATATTCCAAAATTTTTAATAAACGCACATATTTAAATATTACTGCCATCTGTCGTACATACGAGGTAGAACTAAAGAATTCGCCGAAGTATACAGTGTTAAGTATTCAGCATATTGACGTGTTTGCAATTTGGCCGCTACGCGAGCAGTCGAGGAAATAGTATATCTGCTTTGACAACATTGTATGAGGTTCAATATCACTTATCTATATATAGAATGTTTCTTGTTCTGAGATGACATGAACTCCATTAAGTGACATGTTGTTTGCTTCTTGTTCGTAAAACAAGTGTACAGCGTATTCATTTTATTTTGGTTTGAGACTTTTGGTGGAGAGAGAGAGAGAGAGAAGAGAGAGAGAGAGAGAGAGAGAGAGAGAGGAAGAGGAAAGAGAGAGAGAGAAAGGTAAAAAAAGAGGAGAAGAGTCAGTTGATATGTGCGGGGCTGAAAGAGCGCAGAGAGAAAGCAGAGATGAGAAAGAATGAACGAAAGAGTACTTACGCTCAGGGCGCCCGAGCGGGAGCGCCGCCGCGAGGGCGACGGCGAGGGCGGCGGCGAGGGCGTTGGCGAGGGCGGGGGCGCGGGCGGGGGCGGCGCGGGCGCGCGCGCAGGCGTCGAGCGGGCAGGGTGCGCGGTAGGACGCGGCGTCCGTCAGCATGGCGGCGATCTGGCGCAGCAGGCGCGCCCCCTCCGCCTCGCAGCGCCGCTCGCCCTCCGCGTGCACGCACGCCAGGAAGCGCTGCCGCGCGCTGCGCCCACGCAACGCGCGTTCCACACCCCTCTCTAACGCTCCTCGCACACTATGGCCCTGCTTCTAGCAGCAAACGCTAACATTAACAATAAAAAACAACACACTTCGAGATGGCCAAATCCAAATTCTTTCTTCAAACTTTGCGAAAGGGTACCGCTGATTGCACTCTTTAATATGACAAAGTTCATTTCTGGGTGAATTTTTGCTTTAACAAAAAATACAAGAATGTATTTTTTTTAAAGAGTTTTTCCAGCAATTTGTAAACACTATTGTATTTGTGAGTTAAAGTGCCTTAATGACTTCCTTAAACGTTTTTCGAAAATTCAATTTTTTTAAAAAAAAATGCAATTTACAATAGTGCTTAAACGCCATATACGGCTCAAAATTTTTTAAAGAAAATTGCAATTTTCGACGCGCTTTTATTTCTCTTTAATATTCTTGAAATAATATATTCGTCCTTCTATTAGGAAACCGAAAAATTAACACTTCGCATACCAAGCAGGGTACACATGTATCCCCAATTTTACTTTTTTGTTTGATGTTTTTGTTTCGCTTATTTTGTGATATTAAAATTTCACTACATTGTCCGAAATATTTCCGTTTGCAATTACGTCTTTAAGAAAGCAATAGTTTTAACGTATTTTACGTTTTCTACTTGAAAACGAGCCCTGAGGTATATTTGTACGCCTCTTGGCATTCGTCACCAATGTTCATTCAATATTAATTATTAGAAACAGAGATAGAGAGAGTACAACAATATGCAGTGGGTGTTCGTCATTTACATGTAATACTTGTAAACAATCAGTTACAAAAACATAAATATGCATCAGTTACCTAAAACAAGAATAACCTTGAAAGAAGTATTCTGAAGACGTGTATTGGTGTAATAAAAGAGAATCATAGAAAAAGTTACATTTCGTTTTTCAAAGCAATCTTGCATAATATTTGGGCGGGGTACGCGTGTTCTCTGCTAGGTATTCGGCGTTACATTTAGAGCATGGTTTGCGGAAGGTTAAGAAATGCTTTTTTTAAAAAAAAAAAGTACTTTGGGCGGCGATAGATGGCAGCTGGCAAGAGTATGTGGCAAGCCCGCATTAACAACCCGAGATCAAAGGACATAGAAAACTAATCCGGAGTCTGTGTCATTTTCTATAGCACCACTAATTTCTCTGTCAATTTTTCTTTGGTAACAAATATATTCATTTCCTTAGTAAATAATAAATCATTTGCATTTTTCTGGATGTTACAATGTTTCTGAAATGAAAATTGGGCGTAGAAAGTATTTTTTCAAACGTTCGAGTGCTTATTGCGGTTCAAACATTGTGACAAACGAAATGTCGAAGGTATTTATTACGCAAAACGTGAGATAGGAAATGATCAATCACAACAATCGATTTCCTCTCTCACATTACGGATTACCAGAAGATATCTGCTACCACCACAGAATTAAACATCCTACGACGTCCACGCTCCCTAGGTCTTGCATTTTGGGTCGTCGGTCGCTGATGTCGCCAACCGCCTCGACACGCCGACTCTCTGGCCGAGGGCCACGCCCCCTTCACACGTGTAAGCAGGGTTGTCAGATGCTTCGTACAAACATCCGCCATTACATAGATTGTAAATACGCCCAATTCCTCCCAACATGAAAAATTCAACATTTCAAGTGGGGAATACGAATTTGCATTAAAATAATTGTATTAGAATTTTTTTGAGATACTAATCCTAAGAATTGCTTGATAAGTTTTATTTTTTATGAACATTGTAATTAATAATAATATTTATGTAAACACTTATATCTTTTGTTATATCTTACGTTATATCTTAATAATTTAAAAAGCAGTTATTTCTATTCTTATGACTACAGCAGATGCGAGGAATACTTTAAGGGATAAAAAAATGTCCCCACTTTCTCATTTTCACTCTCCTTGCTCCTCTTAAATATCCACGCTTAAAAATATTACCACACAAATGCTTACATGTGCATGCTTATTTCCTATGTATTAACGGAAAATGCTGGCAGTGAAACTCTACTTCCAAAAGATGACTAATTTTAAATAGCGTCTGCTAAAATTAACCCCAAGTACTGCCAATGTGATATATTACATACTCATGTTGTGCACGACAAAAGAGCCTGACTTTTAGAACACACACTGTACTAGAGGTCTAAAAACGAACATTACTCACTTTTAAAAGTAAATTTGAAGGAATTAACAAATGGTTAATGAAAAATCATGTATAATGTAAAAAATGAAATGTTGAAAATTTCGTCCAAATCTGAAAATCTGCCCAAAACTGCACTTGTTTTGATGCATTTCCGCTCGTCGGGCGGTATTTCGCGAAATCAATTTTTGTTCAATCTGACAACGCTGCATGTAAGAGTAATAAATATGTCTACTACATTACTGTATGTGGGTTGAATCCTTCTCTCCTGCCACGAGTTCGTGTAGGATTTCTCTCCCACCTAACATCGCGCGGCAATTCACTGGCCTCTGTATTCCCATTCTCGACTGAATACTGTCACAAATATTTTTCTGTCAGTACGTCCGCGCAGGGAAATTCTGTGTCAACGCCCAGAGCGGTCGGCATTTTCGCCTCGTGCGTAAACAAACGAGGCGCCGACCCCGGGATTGCGTCTTTTCTGCCGTCGCCGACTTTGCGCCAATCACATAGAAACTAGGATGGCAATTGCGAATGTTATCAACGCCCCCTCCCTTCTCCCCGGTTCGAGAGTATGAAGATCGCCTCGACAGTTGTGAATATAGAATTTTCATACGAATTTTCACTTTCTCCCCTTTAGTTTGCAAGAAGAGAAAGTATTGTAATCATACCTCCGAAAACGACAAATTTTCGATAGAAAAATATTGACGAGCCTTCGTAAATAAAAAGGGGATATATTTTGTTCATATATATATAGTAAATTACTTCTTCTAAACCACTGAGTTGTCAGAATTCATGTTATTGAAAACTCAATTGACGGCTAAACCTCTGTCCAGCCGGCCGTCCATCTGCCCGTCTATCTGTACTGACTCAGTGCTTCAACCATGTTTTCCAAACATGAGGATCCTAGATCAAGTAATACAAGTCTTGCTAGTTTAAAATAAATATTTTTAAGTTTCTGGGATATATCACATGAAGTCTCTTTCACATTTTCAACATTTTCACAAAATTGGTTGAAATTTTTTTATTAAAATTTTTCTTCGGATAGTAAAAAATACGCTTTAATGGTTTGTGCAGGTTCCATTTTCGAGGAAATCACTGATTTTTTCAAAATTTTGAAAGTTCTCATTTTTTGCGTCTTCCTACATCTACAATATTAAAGATAAATATTTGTCTTTAATAAACTGTTGTTGAAATACTGATCTTGGAATAAGGTTACATACAATTTTTCGAAAAAATGAGCAGTTTTTGGTAATCTTGCGTGAAATTTTCGCAAAGTTTCAACAATTATTTTCTTGAAATCGGCTCGAAATTTTTCCTTCATTTTTCTCTTCATGCAAGTAAAGTAAGCAAAGAGCAGTAAAATTGGAGCCAGTCTAATTTGGAGCGCACTCTATATTTTCGAAAATTGCGGCAAAGTACAACTGCAATATTACAGATTTTAACTTTCATTTTTGCTTTAAATCAAACGTGTTCAAAAAATCAAATCTTTGGAAAATATCTTGTATATTTTTAAAAAAGACTAATAATTTTCGATCCCTTTCTTTTAGAAGAAAATCATAAAAAACACAACTTTTTATCAAAAACCGCTCAAATTTTCTTTATTTTTTTCACTATAGAACAAGGGACTTAAATTTGTTCTCACACACCAGCAGTTGGGCGAAGGCGTAGTGGACAGGAACTGCCCTCTACAGGTTTCCCAGCCAGGGGTGACGTCTCGGTAGCAAGGCCCGTGTTTCAGGTATTCTGGAAACAAAACAACAAGACATTATATTACGCGCACTTTCACACTATCACACACACGGGAACACACACACCGGGAACACACACACACACGCAAACACACACACACACACGCAAACACACACACACACACGCGCAAACACACACACACACGCAAACACACACACACACGCAAACACACACACACACGCAAATACACACACACACAGACACATACAAATCTCTCTCCCACACACATTTTCCCAATAATCATAGCAATTTGATATATTTAATAGGAATCAATGTTTTATAGAATTATCCGCAATGGTCTACTTACGACTTGATCTAATTTCAGAAATTTGTACATTTTTGCATTTTTTCACATCACTCAAGTGGTTACTCAAGTAAAACACATGTCAATTATTGTTACTATTTTTAAAGCTTAAGACGTCTTTTCGAGCGTATTACCCTTACAGAAGGATAACTTAATAAGATTTTGTAGGATTTTATTGGGCGACGTAGACGCGTCAGTGAGGAAGTGGCCGAAAACAGGATTAATGGCTATGCCCGAAGACCGGATTTGGTTGTGCTTCAGAATGGCACAGACTCTCGCTCTAGTTAGTTTTCTGTTGTCGTAGGTCGGTGCTAGCATTTCGGCTTTGTCCCAATCTTCACCCAAATGCCATCTATCGGCGCCCAGAACACTTCTCAACGCCTCTCGCGGTACCTGTCGCTCCTCTAGGGACATTCCCACCAATAACGACATTCGGCCCTCGCCACTTACAAAGACATTTATTTGCTTACTTGTTTACTTATCCATTTACTTTTTTACTTATCCATTTACTTTTTTACTTATCCATTTACTTTTTTACTTGTATCTCATTTACTTTTTACTTATCCATTTTACTTTTTTTTTACTTATTCCCATTTATTTTTATCTTATCTATTTTCTCTCTTCGCTTTTTTTGTGTTTTTTTATTTCATCTTCTGTCTTTTCTTTTTTTGTCTTTTTGTTTTTTCTTTGGTGTTTTTTTCTTTGTTCTTTTTTTGGTATTTCCTTTGGTGGCTAGTCTCTTTTGGGTGCTGGCACATTATTCGCTTTGTGCTTCCGTCTTTGTTTTTCTTTTTTTTGTTGTGTTTTTACTTTGTTTTTTTATTTCGGTCTTCCTATTCCTTTTTTTTGCTTTTTTTTTTTCCCTTTTGTCGCGGTCGGGTCAGCTTTCTTTCTCCGCCTTGCCTCCTCTTTGTGTTGCTGTCTTTGTCCGGGTCTTTGTGTTTTATTTTGCCTGTTTCATGTCGTTCCTCCGTGTTGTGTTGTCCGGGGTCCTGCCCCTTCGGCGCTTTTTTTGACGTTTTGGTTCTTTGTCTCTTTGTGTTTTGGCTTTGGCCTTACGCCATCCTTACTTATTTACTTCCCCCCCCCTTATGGACTTTTGGGTACCCCCCCCTTTGTTTTTTCTTTTTACTTATCGCTATTTACTTTTACTAAGCTCTTTACTTTTTTTATTCATTTATTTTATTCCATGTGTCCACTTTGGGGCGGGCTTCGGCATGGGATTATTTCGGCCGGCTTCCTCTTGGCCATTTCGTATTCCATTTATCGATTTCCGTAATATTCGTATTCCATGTAAGTGTTCTAATAACGAACAAACGCAACATTTGTAAAACCAGTTTTTGTTACACGCTTTTTCGCACGGGCACAAAAACCATAGTAGACCAGTGACGTATGCCAATAGGCCATATATCTGTAGATGTAACCATAAATTGCAGGTAGCCGTGGCGTCGAGCACAATACAAAAACTTGTCCAGGTTGATGCCTGGGCCGGGAGATCAATCGCTGTCCCCATTCGTGGCTACACTTCGCCACTCGCCCGGAAGAACTCGTATTTTGCTCTTTTTTTTGTTTCATTATCTGCCTCCCAAAAACCCCGGGAAGGCGGGTGTTCATGCGGTCATGTGGCATTTTAGGTTGTTGCGATTGATTTTGGTTTGTGCTATCTGGATGGGCCCATATTAAATAACTACCTAATTGAATATCTCAATCCTAGTAAAATAATTAAAATGGCCACTTTCGGTCAATTATCAGTTAATATACTGTTTTGTATTAAATGTCTGACATCCTTTTTCGGGGTAACGCGTTCGGAAATGCGAGTATATTTCGCGTCATTTTTGTTACCGAGAGAACACAATGCGAGGAGTGGGACGTGCGTGTAACCCACAGTTTATTATTAAATAGTTAAGAGCTCCTGTTAAATTATTTTGCTCCCTCTGTAAGAGAGTTCAACGGAACGTCTATCACAAAGCTGAGACGACAAATTACACAGAGCACTCTCTGCTTTACAACGGCAGAGAAAGTCACATTTCCTCCACGCCGATACTGCGGGTCCGAAGATCAGAGGATTAAAGGAGCGGTTCCGGTCACACCCAGTTTGTTTCGATCCTTGCCTCAGAAACTGACGAAAAGATTCCACGAGAGATTCAGAGGCGCTGGCGACCTCCGAGACCGGAGAGCGCAAGCCACCGAGAACGTGTCGATAGCAGAATGGCGTTTTGCCCTCACTCTAGTTAGGAGGGCAATGGGCCGATTTCTGTTGTAACCTTAAGCAAAGAGCACCGGGAGGGGGTGGCTTCAGGACATGCAACTGATGTCAACTTTGGGCAGTCTCTGAAACATCGAGGTCGGGAGGGTTTGAGTTCCCGACACTAGCTATGATACGGAACCTC